GTTCTGCCGCGATGTGCGTTCGTGAAATTTGGTGGCTGGGATTAATCGGAACAATTCTTCAGAGACTCCCTGTGGTAAATACGAAAGAAAATGCAAAGGGATGCAACATCTCTTCGCAGCGCCAATGAATCGAGCCGATCGGAAAGGACTCTGTCGTCGACGATTCGAGCCGCTCTGCGCTGGATGCGGTCAAGTGGAAAGAGCTGGCACTGGGGAGCCCCAGTCCAGAGATGGGAACAGTATTCAATGTGAGGCCGAACCTGCGCCTTGTAAAGTAGTAGGCGTTGTGCCGTCATGAAATACTATCCCGCTCTGCTGAGCACGCCAAGCTTTTTAGAGGCCAATTTGGCCTTCTCTTCCAAATGACCACGAAACTGCACGTCACTTGATATGACGACGCCGAGAATTCGGATACTGGCTAAGGCAACAAGGGGAGTACCTTGAAACTGAGGAGATACGACAAAGGGGTTCTTTTTAGCGGTAAACGCGCAAACTTGTGTCTTCTGAGGATTAAACTGGACTAGATTTAGTCGCCCCCAATCCGAGACTTTGTTCAGCAAAAACTCGACTTCAGACACAAGTTTGTTCCGGTACTCGGCGACTTTTTCCCGAGAAATATTGGAACGGCCGGTGTATAGAGCATCACCAGTGTTGTCATCCGCATAGCAATTAATGTTACTGGTTTGCAATATATCATTGATATGCAGAAGAAACAGCGTTGGTGATAGCACGCAGCCTTGTGGAATACCAGCATTAATAGACTTGTAGTCGGAACATGCACCGTCTACAACAACCTTACCTCATTATCTGGCGTTTATAATTGATTATATTATTTTGGAGACCAAGGACGTGATGGTGTAGGCCTGTAGTTAGACGGGTTTGTGCGGTCGCCTCGTCACAGGGATTGGGTGTATCAAAGCTTTCTCCCATGAATTCGGGTATTCGCCGAGGGTGTTGGAGTAGGGGATAGGATGCGTTAAAAGCGATGTCAGCTCCGGATCACACATCTTCAGCACAATGGGAGGGACTCCATCAGGCCAACTCGACTTGTGGATGTCCAGGAAGAATAGTGCTCTGCACACCTAGTGCTGTGTAAACAGTACATCCCGCATGGAGCACTCACACCGCGGGATGGTTGGCGGTGTGTTTCCTCCGTCATCGAGAGTCGAGTTGGACGCAAATAGACAACTTAGCAGATCGGCTTTATCCTTTGCGGCATGGACCAGTCCAGTCGTCCACCCTGTGCAGAGATGGCAGAGATGGCTGACAGAAGTTCCCTTGGACAGAATTGGCGAGAGACTGGAATGCACGTGTTCCCGAAGTAAGTGGAACTAGAGTCTCGCCAATTCTGCCGATGTGCTCTGACTTTGCCTTAGCAATGCATGAGCAGTGTGCGCTTACTGCGTACCACAGCCACGCCGCTGCCTGGATCAGATACGGCATCATATTCTGGGGCAATTCTACCGAGGTGCACGCGGTATCTGTGTTCCAGAAACGTTGCCCTAGAATCATTACATTCCTAGCTCCAAGAGATTCATGTCGAAAGTTGTTCCCTAAATAGAACTTATTAACTGTAACGTGCATTTATATTTTTGAATAATACCGATTTGTTAGGAAAAATACTTATTATTAACTTCCTTCTGCGTAGCATTGAAAGGAAGTTAATGGTTTTAGCTGGCAGTCTGTTAGTCTGTATGCCGACACGATAACTTCCGTTCCACTGGACCGATTGACTTTAAATTTGGTATGATACCTTGAGATAGTAGCTCGGTCGAGTTTGAATTTGGGTCCTGTAGGTCAAAGGGCACCAGAGATATGGGATTCACGCAGAAGGAAGTTGTTTTTCTTGAATTTACATTCAACTCGTTTTCAACGAATTGAGGATAGACCCAATCGATACGGCGCACGTTACCGTGGTTATAACCTGGTTGCATCTACCGCACATTTAATAATATTTAAAAAAGGTCCATACTACATGGTTATAAGGGCTTATATTTACACTAATACATTTACCTAATACTATAAAAGCCCTCCAGTGTCGTAAATTTGAAATAGTAGTAGAAAATGGTTATTGTAAAAAGCTATTATAATTTGAATGAATACTTCAATGATAAATTATACATTTAAATTATTTTGACAAAACTTATTATTTCTATTTACTTATTTTACATTGTTACTATTTTCATCAACTTTTTAAATCTTATTTATATGAATGAAAAATGACCAATAGCTGAGATGAAATATTTATTGACATTTCATTTTAAAAATGTGTGTATTATTTAGTTTGATATTTAATAAATTAATTGATAATAATGTATAGATTATGTACTGTAAGTATTGTAATTTAATTTGGTTCTCTATTAATTAACATTTAAACTCAGTCTTAATATGCTACGCCCGTACAGGTTTGTCACATGCTCTGTAAATATATCTATTGTAACAACTTTATACTTTGTGACATGCAATAAATGAATTATGAATGAATACTTTTGAAGGACCTGGAGAAGGAATTAAGCTTCTCTTTAAGAGCGCTGGAGTTTGCATTCCGAGACGTTGATGCGTTAGCCCAGGCCCGGTAGCACTCCTGTTTATGTCATGATGCAATTTTACGGGAGTGACCAAACCATGGCTGAGTTCTGCCACCGATAGGCACCACAGATGATGGAATAAAAAGTTCCATTCCCTGAAGTACCACATCAGCGACAGAATCAGCAACAATGTTGGGATCATCTGGCAAGAAGCAAGCCCACTCCTGTCCCAATCTGCCGACCTATAGTGCAAAACACGGCGGAAACTTGCAGAATGCAACCACGATGGGAGTGTGAGTGGCAGCGTACTTCAGATCAAACAATGCCCCAAAGAGTCAAGAGATGCATCGACGGACACTTGATATCCATCCGTCAGCAGAATGTCTAACAGGGAAGGTGCATGATCCATCATACCTGGGATCCGCGTAGACGAAGTAATCTGTTGTGTCAGACCATATGCCAAGGCATACTCATAAACAGAACTACTCGCTTGATCGGTAAGACGGGAACCAAGTCATTCAGCAGACGCGGAGATGGTCGTCGCTACGCGCAGCCATAGGAAGAACACAAGGACACGTCTCTACGTTCAGGGCTGCCGAGGCGTCGAAAACAGATGTCTTCTCTTATGTATACGCAAACTCAAGCCAGGAGCACAAAGGAGTGTTCTAATTTGTACCCCGGGTAAGAGAGATATGAAGTATCAGCCGTAGAGGACACCTGTGTCTCGGTTAAAAAGAGCAAGGCTCGCTTTGCCACCTCCAGATGGTAGTTAACGGCGTTAAGGTTTGAATGAAGTCCCCTAATGTTGCAGAAATTCACGGACAGTGCGACAGGGTTCACCTTGGTCTTATTGCTCTGCTTGCCCCGAGTAGTTTTCGTCGCGAGAGGAATTTTGTTCTCGGAATTTCGATCTTCCCTGAGAATCAACTAGGAATCCTCCGTCACCAGGGATGCTGGTACCCGCCTGGGGTAGTGTCTCATTTGATTCCGCAATAATGTTAAGGAGGTAGGGGGCGAATTGGGCCTCCGGCCACCTGCACTTACCAAGCGAAACACAGGAATACACTTCTACGAGCCGGGCGATCCGTGTGACAGCAAAAACTGCCGCGTTGGTCTATCACTGTTAAAAAAAGTTCTTAAAGTAAAAAAAAAAATCTAATACCACTCTCAAATACTCGATGAGAGAGCAGGGTTGAAGTTTTTCGTTTTAATCTGGGAAAAGTGTATGATGCCTTGCTTACAATATATTCCGATAGGAGCACAGATACGGAGTCAAGAAATATGACAAATTCATTATTGGCAAAAGTTAAGACGTATAAATTCATAAGATAAATATTATATTTGTCAGAAGCGGTGAAAATCGATAATGCAAAAATAATAGTTTGTCTGAATTCCGAACTGAGTCCGCTTTTGGGACAGTACTTTAACAGCGCGTAAACTAGCGGAAGAAGTCGAGGAAATAGTAGAATTTTGCACACTTACCCGCCGCCACGTTCGTAGGTTTTTTTTAAATTATGAGGCAGAGGATGAACCGATAACAGACGTGAAAACACATTTTAAACTTAATTTCAACTACTGTTTATTAGATATCACAATCACTAAGGGATTTGGACTTTAGATACAAAAAAGTACATTGTTGTAATTTAGAAAATAAACTGTGCCATGCTGTTAGTCTGTGCCATGCTGGCTTTTCAGATGTGGAGAAGTTCGAGCTCTTTAATGAAGTCGAATTAATTATCCGCGTTCGTGGATGATTTCACTACGTTGTTGATAATTTTAAGTTACTTGTTTACGAATAAATTAATTTCAGTGTTCCCAAATCTGTCCACAGCACTGAGAATTTACCTCACATTGGCAGTCACTGTAGCACACAGTGAAAGATCATAACTAGAATACTTAAAGAAAATATACCTGTAAGTATTCCATTTTACGCGCTCGCCTACTCGAGGGCGCCAAGGTATTGGTTTCACACGGGCGTTATAAGTGCTGCCCATCCTCGCAATTTTTTGAAGGTTTCACTTCAACCGCGTGTGAACTGCACACGTTTATTTTATCGACTTAGAGGTTTCAGACATTATCGTCATGAATTTTCCACTGGATTAATCTGCCGAAAATCGAAATCTCCCAAAAACTTCGCTAAATAATTCATCTACTCATCAGAAATCTGAATACTATATTTTCATACAATATTATGAAATATTGTATTATAAAATATTAATAATAATTATAAAATATAGTAACCAGATTATGCTGTATGATACTTTACCTTTTTTTGTCTTAATTGGCAAATTTTATAACAACAACAACAATTATCGACAGCTGTGACATCACAGAATACATGTACCCTGACGGGTGTGACATCTATCAACACAAGTGACAGCTGACAGCAGACAACCTAAAAACCTAAAATCCATTTATTTAGTGGACTTACATTTTTTCAGTTTTTTATATATTGCATAATATCACATAATAATGGATTTAAATAGACTACCTAATGATAAGAAACTCCAATTATGCAAATGGTATTTTAAAGGTATAACTGTATAAATCCTGTGTTTACCTCTATAAAAAATATGAAAATCTTAGTGATTGTATGCAACTAATAAGTGGCTTCTAATTATTATTTATGTTACAGTCGGCTGTATGTTTCTGCCTTTTGTGTGGGCAGTAAATGCTGTTTGGTTTTTCAAAGAAGCTTTTGTTAAACCACCATATGAAGAACAGAATCAAATAAAAAAATGTAAATTACCTACATCAATATTTTTAGTTATTACATTAAATTTTAATTCATACCTCTTACATTGCACATTATTTATAAAATGAACAGTCTATATTTTGTTATTTATACAATGATCATAATTGAATTTAATAAGCTTCTTTTTTGTTTTGTTCTTTCATGTTATTTATTTCTTCAAATAATTCTTTACATTAAATATTATGTTTAATCACCATTTTGTTAAATTTCGAAAAAATTTGATGGGTCTTAGTATTAGTAGACACCATTTACACAAATGCGGACAAAATGTGGACCTAACTTGAGATTTTTGTCACCATTGACGCAACATATGTTTGCCATTTATCCATTAATTGCATATCTATGTATGTAAATGTTTAATATTCAAAATATTTACAATTTTATATTTGTAAATATATTTTAAACCATTATTTTAACTATAGTATGGAAGCAGCAACCTGCTTGTAGTTAAGTTCTTTGCATTACTCATTAAGAGCTTCTCTTATATTGTTTTTAAATGGTACTGACAATTTTAATACCAAAATTTTATTTTGGTACTTTCATGTTACTTAACAAGGGAGTTCTTTGTATTTAATAATAATTTCCTTTCTACTCAGATATACATAACAGCACAAGTTGTGAGCACAGCCTCGACATGCCCAATTGTCGATTTATAGGTCTCTTTGATCTTCACAAGGCTACGGGATGAGTTTGGTCAACATTCTTTCACATGATTAGTGGTTAGTTATTTTTTATCATTCATTGAATATTTACTACATTAGCTATATTGGCAGTACATATACAAATGCTGTCACTTTGTGCTCACAACTTGCCTTGCTATTTGTATGGATGTTAAACTTACGACCCTCACATGGCCGAAGTTATCTTTGAGCTTATTTTAGTCAGTGAAAAATAAATTTTAGTTACGTGTTCTATTTGCATTATGCTCAAATAATTCTTTACAAAACTTACAGATGTTATAATGAGTGCGGGTGGGGCAGCAGTCTGGGTGTGCGTGCTTGCTGCATGGGTAACGGTGTTTCAGACGCACCGTGTGTCTTGGGCTGCTACTGGAGACTCACTATCGTTCATTGTGCCTCTTGGTCGAGCATAAGATTAATGTGATTAAGAACTTGTTGTGTTCAAGATGTGTGGCTTAAAATATTGTTGTCGGACATATAACTTCAGATTAATAGGTATTGTTTATAGAGTAAGCTAATTAAAACCTGTGAAAGAGTTCTTACTCACCTTTATTTTGAACTGACTTAAAAATAGTAGATCATCATCATCATCATTACAGCCTACAAGTATGAACATAGGTCTTCTCCCAGGGAGTGCTGTGCTATAAAGCAAGAAATGCTATTTGCAATGTGTATAACAATATTTCTTTATTTAACCAATTAACTTTTTATATATTATCATTATACATGGTAGAGCCATGCTGCAGCTATATCAGTAGTATAGTTGTAGCACAAATGGGTCGGCTTGACCAGGGAAGGACCGCACTCACAGAAAGCCACCAGCCAGCCATAGACCAGCGTAAAAAAGTAGCTTAACATTACTGTGTTTTGTATAGTGAGTGTAGAGAACTGGAGACCCTTTTTACTCAGGGGTGCCAACGCATCTGCATTTTGATTCTTTATTGAGGGTAGATGTTGATGTCTATTGGTCACAGCAACCACTTACCATCAGGTGGACTGTGTGCTCGTTTGTCACCCTGAGCTATAAAAAAATACATTTATTTCAACCTATATCTAATAATAATCGGAATTTATATTGTTTTTTTTTTTATTGTGACAGTAAACAGTTGCACATTAATGTAAGAAAATACAAGACAATTAATTTATAATAGGAGTACTTAACATGTAACCGAACTAATATTATCTGCTTAGCCTTATGTTTGAATTGTTTATCCTGATATAATGATTGCGTCTTCACTTTTCGTATCCAATGTTTTGAAATTCTTGTCACTAAATTCATTCTATTACAGCTACCTATGAAAGTCCGCTGTTGAACATAGGAGCGCCGATAGATTGTCTCATTGAGGAGATATTTGTTACAGTCGCCACTCTTGGCAGACGGGTTGGCAACCGCGGTTTTTATTATTATAGTTGTTATCACGAAGACTGCTGCCCATCTCCAGATTTGTTTCCCTCTATCACCTGTTACAACGCCCATGTGACACTCCGATAATCGTTTTGAGACTGTCGTCCTTGATGTGTCGTGTTGATATTTCATGGACAAAGGTTTATCGTATCCATAAAATTATTAAAGATTCGAGTGCTTACATGCCAAAACATAATATGAGGTATTTTAGTGTTTTGCAGTGACGATTCAGTCGTTTTTGGAAAAAATAATTTAAAAAAAAAGGTACGACTCCATTGACGTCTGTCGAGTTGGGGGTTGATATTTTTACATGTAACCTACATTATTATAAGCACACACGCAAAGTTTCAACATGCGGAAACGCATACTTTTGCGTGTGTGCTTATAATAATGTAACCTTTCTGTAAAATAAATATCAACCCCCCCAACTCGACGGACGTCAATGGAAAGCTAAGCCGAAAAAAGGATTGAGTAAATTAGCTTCGAATAGTAGTGACTTGCCGTTGCATTGTATTTGGCATACCCATAGACGATATGGGGTAGTGAATATTCTACTTTGCGATTTTCGCCAATGAAAATAAATTTATTGGAAATTCAATATTTGCAGATGTACAGTCATGTGTAAAATACTACATAGGCAGAGTAAGCAGAAAAAATTTCATAATATGCTGATCACAACTACTGTATTCTGGTTACAGAAATATTTTGAATCTAAAGCTATTGTGTGTCCTATTGGTTTATATACATGATTATTGGTATGTATAATGTGTATGTGAATTGTACTCCTGCAGTTTTAGAATTTACGCTTTGCATGGATTTTTGTAAATGACTGTACATAAATTATAAAACTCCTTGACTAAAAGAAAATGGATATAGTTGAAAACTCCCCGCGATTTCGCCCGCGTGTAATTTAGGGTTTTAATTATATTGCTCAGAACCCTAATTCTTTTTCTCAAACATAAGTAGCCTAAGTTACTCCTTAGAACATCAGCTATCTGCCAGTGAAAGTCCCGTCGAAATCGGTCCAGCCGTTTCGGATATTAGTCGGAACAAACAGGCAGACCGACAGACAGACAGACAAAAATTTTAAAAAGTGTATTTTTGTTATAAGTATCGTTTATACTTTCATATACATTTAGTAAAACACTGTAATTTTGACATTACAAACAGACACTTAAATTTTATTTATTTGTATAGATTAATGGCAAACGAGCGCACAGTCCACCTGATGGTAAATGGTTGCTGTGACCTAAAGACATCAACATCTACCCTCAATAAAGAATAAAGATGCAGATTCAGTCACCATTCATTTTTCTTTCTATTATTTACTATAATATATTAATATTAATTTTGTAATTATTGCTCATCACTCATATTTATTATTTTTTTTTAATTTTAATGTATATATTTTTTTTAAATGTAAGTGGTAAAACAATTAAATTATTTTCGGTTTATATTAGTGGTGTAAGCCTTTTTATTGCCAACAATAAACGATTTTATAAAAAAATCGCCTTTTTATCTATTTCTTGGGTTATTGCTTCGTGTGGTCGTAAAGGCCGGCAACGCATCTGCAATTCCCCTGGTGTTGCGGTTGTTCATGGGCGGCGGTAGTCACTTACCATCAGGTGAGCCGCATGCTCGTTTGCCCCCTCTCCTATAAAAAAAATGGTTGTTCACCTGACCCCATGATGACTAACATTCATTCTTTCCGCAATTCTCTTTCTGCATGCTGTGTGTGTGTGTGTGTGTGTGTGTGTGTGTGTGTGTGTGTTTGTGTGTGTGTTTGTGTGTGTGTGTGTGTGTGTGTGTGTGTGTGCGTGTGCGTGCGTGTGCGTGTGCGTGCGCGTGCGCGTGCGTGTGCGTGCGTGCGTGCGTGCGTGCGTGCGTGAGTGTGTGAGTGTGTGTGCGCGTGCGCGTGTGCGTGTGCGTGTGTGTGTGTGTGTATGTATGTTTGTATCTACATATGTATATAAATGTTTATAGTGCGGCACTTTGCACGAATATAATTATATAATATTATCAAAGTCTTACAATGTTTTGATTATATAATATATACAATAATATATAATCAAAGCACTGTAAGATTAATATAAGTTGAGTCAAAATCCAGTCCAGTCCAAAATATTGCTGAACTCCCTCAAAGAATAAATAAACCCTATGAATAAATCAAGAAATACCTACCTACCTAACACTGGGCAAGTAACATCAACTCAACACAAAAGCAGTTCAAAGTCCGCTAAAGCGATTATAAAGGAAAGGATACGTTTTATAAAGAGGAAGACGTTGATACCTCCGGTAACAATTGCCGGCTTTCTTTGGGCCGGATAAGCGCCGGGGGGAGCATCCTCGTCGAGGAGGAAACGGGAAACATCGGCCCACAATAGCGGTTTATTACCAGCGTTTTGCATACGTTTCCTGCACCAACCAACTAATACTCAGTTTGAAATTGATTCAACTGTGTTGTAAGTATAAGACAAACTGAGAGTACATTATCAAATACGATTAGGTTCGTGTTTTCTGCCGACTTCCAAAAAAGAGGACGGTACTCAATTCGACTGTATGTTTTTTTTTTATGTGTGTATAACTTACTGGGTGAACCGATTTCGATGATTCTTTTTTTATTTGAAAGCTGGTACTTCTCGTGTGGTCCCATATGAATTTGATCAAGTTCAAACCAATAGTTTTTGAGATATTCTTAATAACTTATATTGAAGTCGGCTGTACAAAATTTTTAATTTTAAATTATTGTTCGCGTCGTATTTGTGCAAACTTAAAACGTAATTGTTCTATCTTTAATATGAAGTTAGAATGAGTATATTATATTGGTATAATAACTACGTTTAAATGCTATAAATTTTGTATACTTGTGTAGTTTAAACTCCAATTGTTCGTACATATTTTAAGAATGTTATGGATTTTTTTATAGTATAAAGGTGACAAACGAACACACAATCCACTTGCTGGTAAGTGGATGCTGTGGTACATAGACATCTAGATCTACAGTTATCCTTGATTAAGAATCAAAATTCAAATGCCTTGTCACCCCTGAGGACTAAAATGGAATGTCTCGTTTCCAGTAAAATGGGGCTCCCGTTCTCTGTACTTATCATGCAAAACACAGCAGCATTGAACTGGTATTCTGTGCGAGTGTGGTTCTACTGGTGGACCCATTCGTGCTACAAACAGTTTTTTTAGACGTGGTAGATCCACGCTTCAGCTTAATATAGCTGAAACTTACCTCACTCTTATAGTCCGATGGGGCGCAATTCGACGCGACCAGACAGAGATCAGGCGCAGCAGGAAGTACGAAAATGAAACACCGCCAACTTCCTCACTCCGGACTGCTACTTTTTTTTTACCCAACCCGGGATTCGAATCATGATCAGCAGTTGCGCTTACGACCACTAGATCAACAAGACAGTCAAATAAACAATAACATGCATATTTATCATTTTATAGATTGTAAGAAAATATTAAATTATTTTTTATTTTAAATTTTAAGAAAAATTTAATATAATATATTTTACCGAAATAAACCCCAATTATGATACCCAAGCGATGATATGCCGGACGTCAGTCTGAGCGAGATCAGAATGACTCTCCAAAACCTTAAAAACGGCAAGGCCCCAGGCGAGGATGGAATTACAGCGGAGCTTCTGAAAGCGGGTGGAAAACCGGTACTTGAAGTCTTTTAGAAGCTTTTTAATTCCGTCCTCCATGGTGGGACTACTCCGGAGGCGTGGAGCAGAAGTGCCGTGGTCTTGTTCTTCAAAGAAAGGCGCGCTCTCAACGCTCTCATGAAGAACTACAGACCAATTTCCCTTCTGAACCGCGACTCTTTGGTATGTTAATCATTTTATGTAAGAAACAGAAAATAATTTGTTAGTGTGTCTATTAGCACATACGAGTACACCTGAAATACAGGTTTATTCTAGTTCAAGTACCTACCTGTTATTTTAGACTGTTTTAGATTAACCCAATGTTTGAATTAATTGTACAGTTTGTAAA